CCTCAAGTGGATACTTGGACAAGACACAACCCCATTCCTGTGATTCAAACCTGAAAATACGAATGTTAAATGAGGCTGTCATTCAAGTGCAGCGGAATTATTGATCCAATTTTTCGAAAAATTGTCGGAATATTTTTGTTTGCTGTAGTTTCCTATTCCATCAGCTACTGACTTTTTAATAAAAAGTGCGTGTCGAAAATTATTTTTGTTCAGACTTTCGATATGAAAGTAACGGAACATTTGTGCTCAGGGTGGGTTTTTTTCTTCAGATAAATTTCGACTTTTTAACTAGACATTTTTGACGGAATTTTTAATATCATTCAAAAGGTATTATTGCCTTGAGCTCAATTTTGAAAAGATATTTTACCTGTGATCATTTTTCGTAAAGTTATGGGGTTTAAAGATTGCCATTTTGGCCAATTTGGGACAATTAACGCTCGATATATTTTGCGCTATTAACGCGTAAGCGGAGAGTTAATCCTCTTAGAAATCGATCCAAATTGGTTTAAAGAAGCTTATTTGCCATAATTGATTTGTTACAAGGAGCGAAATTTATCTTTTTGTACTTTATAAGGCGTGTGGGGGGATGGTTTTCATAAAAATTTCAAATTTTAGAAAGAAAATTGTCCCTTTTGTTTTATTACATTTGATTTTTAATGTTATTACTGCCACATAAACCTTAAAAGACAGTCGGAACATTCAGGGCTTCGCCCTGATACGGGCAGTTTTGTTATACTATCTGACAGATATAGCTGCCCGGAGCTCAAAAATCAAACATATTTTTTTCTGTAAACGGCGTATTAACTTATTCAAAATTATGAGGAGGAATTTCAATTTGTCTTAATCAGTTTACAAGACGCTAAATCGAAGGATTTCAAGAGTGTCGAAAACTAACACAAGACTGCTCGTATCAGGGAAAAGCTTTGAATGTTCCGAACGACTGCTCATTAATTGGTATCAAATCGTTTTTGATTTTTGATATATTAACAAACTACAAATTTTAGGCTGATCACAGTGTTAAAAGTAAGACCAATTGGCTTGCCTCAGATCAATTTGGAACAACTTTGAGTGCAAATGATTTGCCACGCATTTAGGATAATTTGCCACCTGTTTAAATATTTAGCGTATTGAAACATGCTATCAAAATGTGGATCCAGCAGCAAAGAGGACTCTTTATTCGCTTTTACTTGCTTGGCAATCCCAATTTTCCGGATGGATGTTCATACGAAAGAAAAAAACAACCCCGGGAGTTGCAGATGAAATTTTAAAAAAATGAAGTTAGAAATGAAGTTTTGTTGAATTTTCTAACGTCTTTCCATCTTTCTACTGCGTTAAATAACTGCGATTTACTTGAAAATTAGAAACAAAAATCGAAAAAATATTTTGTTACTGTTTCATTTGTTTGCTTTAGAAACTTCTTTCTTTGAATGTTTTATGGCTCTTAATTGTGTGGTAGTTCTTTTGTTTCAGTGATATCAAGAGCAATTAAATGCTACTGCTTTGTCGTTTTACCTGGTTTTTTTCATAAGTCTTTGTTATAAACTTGTTTTCAATTTTTTTTTACAACCTAATGAAAAACTTTAAAACACTTTTTCTTAAGCATAACGTACATCCCTTTGTCTGATGAATATAATTTCAGAATAAAATTTCCAAAGAAAAATTGTTTTTGTTTCATGCTTTGATCAAATTTTTAATGGTCTTCATTTGACGTGAAGTCGGTCAGTTTTTTCTTGTTCTTTTGCGAGTTGCATTCACATGAAAAGGTTTACTCACTGACCTAACTGTTTAAAGTGTCGAAAAAACATAAAGGCAAAGTGTCGTCTTTGCCGAAGTTTTGCAGATGAAAATTGATAATAATGGAAAATTGCTGTCTAAATGGGTATCAACAAAATACATTTTTGCTGCGGAAAAAGACCATTGAATCGATAATATTGTCATTATATTTGTTCACTTCTGTGAAAGCGGCTTGCAATTATTTCCATTATAATCTCTGTTTTTTTTGCAAAACTTTTGCAAAATGTCATCGAAGTTCTTCTTTACACTAAGGCCTACGCTAAATATAAAGTAAATAGAAAGCTACTGAATTTTTACGCTCGTTTAATCCTTTACCCCCTCCCGTGGTAAAAAGGGGTATGAACGGGGGGATTTCAAAGAGGATTTGTAAGCGGGGAGGGGTGGTGTAAATGTGTCTGCGCTTGTGGGGAGGGTGTAAAGGGGGGAGTGATGGCATGTAAGCTGACAGGGGATGTAAACGAGGAGATTTAAGCGGGGGAGGGAAGTGAACGTTGGGGGGAGAGGAGAGGGTGGGTTTTCGTTTACTCGAGGTTTTCGTTTACTCGTTTACTCTAAATAAAGATCAGCAAACGGTTGACAAACTAAAAAAATTTTGAAAAAAAAACTGTGAGCCAAAAAATTGACAACATAATTTCTTTTTACAATTTTTGATTTTTCTTTCAAAATTATTTAGATCGTCTGCCAAATTTTCGCTTTTGGTGCGCTACTCATTTCTTTTTTATTGCTTACCTCGAGTAAAGCAAACATACTTTCTGATGAGTACATTCCGATGAGATATTTTGCCAAGAAGCTTCTAGTAGCCAGCAGAAGCTATAAATTTGCAAAATTAGTTTTAATAGTAAAAAAAAACTTCAAATTTATTGATGTTTTCAGATCAAAAAAGACAAGGAAAAACTACACATCAGAAACTAAGATCTGAAATAGATGTGTTTGGATCTGAAATAACCATGAAAAACAAAGTTTTAGTAATAGGGACTAAAATTTTGAATTACTTCGAAGTATCCAAGTATTGTTTTAACCTTTCACGAAGAAATTCAGATCTGAAGTTCAAATCTGAAAAAGATTATTTCAAATCTGAATTACACCAATTTCTAGGAACGGGAAAGGAATTCTTTGTAAGTAAAAGTAATTGGGTGGTATGAATTGCTCAGTTGAACTGCTATTAAAAGTTTGATAAGGAGTTAATAGTTTAGCTCTCACGCATTTCTAGAAATAACAAAATTTTTTAATCGAACAAAAACAAGCTCTGCGTTAAGTTTGGGACAAATTATTGCTCACTCTAAAGAGAAGCCAGTTCCCACTTTTTAGTTCAAAGTAGGATATTGATTTGATATCACGCAATGTCATCTCGCAAGATCAAATTTCATCATGCGGTGAATTTTCCATTTAATTAGTTGTTGAATTTCTTTTAAGTATCCTTATTCAATTCAAATGATGATTATGGCTTGTTTGTTAAGCTGGCTGTCAAACTGGCTGTCAAACTAAGAAAATTGATGGGCCCAACGTCCAAAAAACGTTTCAAAAGTCAAGGTTGCCTGACTTAACAAAGTTTTGAGTTAGTTTGCTGAGATTTAATGACTGAAATTAAGTGAAACAAAAGATAAGCAATCAGAGAAAAAGTCACAAAGAAGATAGCGAAGGTAGGTAGAGAGAACAGAGCAAAACGGAGAGAAGACAAACAAGTGGCAAAAAGTGAAAATTCAGTGACCACAGGGAAATCTGCATCCGCAAGGTAAGCTGAAAGGAGCACAGAAAAAAAAGACGAACACGACGTGGGAAAAAAATAGAAACTGTTCAATTTGATGAGAATCACTCCATTGGTACAATGTAATTTTGTAGAAAATTTTTGTTGCTTGGAGGGATAGTATTCTGTTGCTGCAAAATCTGAACACGAAGAACAGTTCCACAAAAATCGACACCCGAAAAATCTATATTGTTAATACATAAACCTAAAGTTGAAGTCTTAGATTTGCTATACCGTTAACGTGTTATTCGATACATTGTACGTTGGGTTTTTGATCAAACTTATGTAAAAACTTTTAATAACCTCAAACGCTGCGATATGATTGTTAATATAATGTAGACTAAATTTGTGTCATTGAAAGGTATTTTGAGCATAGCGTATTTGTTCAAAGCAAACTAGTTCAGATAAAAATTGTTCAAATCAGAAAAGAGAATGTTTTAAAGAGGTTTTTTTTGTTCTTTGCAGAGCAGTTCCAGGCTAGGTTTGCTTATCTGAACGTGAATAAAAATACTTATGTGAAGTAGACGAAAAAAATTTTGCACGCAGTGTTATTAGTTTTGCTACTGTTGAACAAAAAAAGGCATCGTTAAGAAAAAAATGGAAATTATTTGGTAAAAAAGGCTTGCAGTTGGTCTGAATTTGTCCAATTTTTAATTTTGAGACTCTATAAAGGAAAGCGAAGTGTGTAAGTGAAGGCAAAGAATATTTTTGTGTAGAAAATTCAATAGTCTTGAAAAACTAAAACTGCAGCGTTAATTTTTTTACAATTAACCTCGATTAGAACGAAAACCAAAGAGAAGGTAGTCTAGAAAATCACGCGAGTAGAATTGCGCTGTAATTTAGATGACAAAATTTATGGTTTAAATTAAAAAATAATCCTTGTCGACCATCTTTAAAGGTCTTCCAAATGTGTATTGTGCTTTTTTTTTTACTTTGATAACACTTAGTAAAGACGATTAAATTTAGTTTGATTTCAAAAATTCTCAATAATTTTTGAAATGGATCATATAAATGAAAAACAGGAGGCTGAAATGTTGTTGAACGAGAAAGTGGAGACTAAGTTGTTTCAGAAGCTTAGATTTAGGACACAACTAGTGATTGTGAGTTGGACTTGAAATACAAAAAGTAAAGAATGAGCAACATTTGGCAGACACAAGTGAAATTCGTTTCAGCTGTTTCATTTCTTCTGATTGAGTTGAGATTGACTTAGTTACAGTTTTAAATGAAACTTGCTTTTCAATAAAAGATGGAAAAAAACTCTTTGTTGAGCTGGAGGCGAACTTTAATGGAACAGTTGAAAATGTTGACAAAATTGAGTCGACAGTTTCACGCAAAATGTATACCTGAATTTACCGTGAGAGATTTTCAGACAAGATCAAAATGTTTCATTGATTGATTGTATTACGCATCATGGAATTCCGTTAGTTTATTATCAGTCTCAACTTCCAATGGAGGAGGAGTTAAAGTGCTTTTATAGAAAATTCGTGTTTTGAACACGGCAATGGGATCGTTAGCCTTCTAACTGAGCGGAAATCATTTTGGATTAGGAAATCAAGCAACAAT